TCCTCCTTAACCTATGGTAGGAAACTAATGATTAAGATATTATTAAGTGCTGAGCTAAAAATTTACCATCTAAAAGGATGTAAACATAGAAGAATAATCATAATGTATGACTTTCTAGAAATTATGATTAGATAAATAAACTATGTAAAATTACAAACCTGGTCCATTCTCTTCACTTGACTCAAAAAGTAATTAAAGTCCAAGACAAATCCCTAAAAATGGGTGATCCTTCTCGATATAGGTACAAAGTGCTTCAGCCATCCTGCAAAGAGGAACAAAATGAAAACCTCCAAACAGGTCCTGAACTAAACAGTTAAAGTTGCAATACAAAATGCGAAAGATAATTGGTCAATCTCACTAAATATATATATATATATATAAATTGGCACTGTGCTGGCATCTGAAATAACTGAATGAACTAACATAACTGCCACAGTGGTTCAGTTTTATAGGATATAATAGCATTCCCTGTTGTTTATGCAAAACAGCACCAAGGAATACATTCATATTTTTGAAGTTAATACCACATCACTTCAACCCACTGAATTAGAAGCTGATTCAATTAATTGAAATGATAAAAACACATAAAACACGTACCCGGTCTTGGTCAGCACATCCACTGCTGCAGAAAAGGCCCCAACACCAGGAAATATAAGGCGATTAGCATTTCAAATATCTTCTGGACTTTGCACCTACATTTTAAACTTAAAGTCAATCTAGAATTCACTAAGCACCCTTTCTATGAAGGAATTGAAAATACCATGATTCAAAGTCAACATCTTTTAAGACGAAACAGAAAAAGAAATTGATAACAAACAATTTAAAATCGAATGCTTGCTACATAAAGAATGTAAAAGATAAATCAAAGTTTCCATTTTCAATTAAGTAAACTGAACATCCCCTTATTTTTTGTTCTCATCATACTTTCTCCTACTTGAGTTCAATGAAGCAAACAGCTTACATCTTTGATGTCGAAAATTAATTTGATGTAACATGAACTATAAAAAAAACTCGATTCGGGAAAGAAAAGCCTCTCTAACGAAAGATCCTTTCATCTAAACCTGAGCAATGAAGTTACGCATTAAACAAGTTATTCCCATCCTCCTCACGGTAAAGACGATATTATCCCATCCCTCATATTCTCCTGGACTGATGGAAAGTATAATTCCTTAATTGAACTGACAGCTGAAGGTAAAGCAGATACCAAAAACCAACGTGTTACTCTTCGAATTCCAAACATAAATTCTCAACCCCATTTCGGTTTCTCCAAAACTATTGCAGGTTTTTTTTTTTTTTTTTTTTGAATAAGCAGCACCGGTGGAAATGATTCAACTGTTGTTTATGGTGGTATTGACTGAGATGGCTTTGGTTCTTATACTTCTGTTCAACACTCCCATTAGGGAGCTTCTGATGATAGGGCTGGACCTGATGAAACGGGGGAAAGGCCCTATAGTAGCTAACACTGTTGCAGCAACCATCCTGATTGTTTTCATTGCAACAATGAATAGCGTTAGAGATATCCAGAAACGGACTGCGGAAACAGGTGTTATCAATCCCACGGATGAAGTTCTCATGGCGAATCTCCTTCTGGAATCGTCTCTCATGGGTAACTCATAATAATTGACAGACAAAACTGTTTTCATTTTCCCTTTTTTTTTTAACTTTTTTTTTTTTGGTTGGTGAGTTACTGAAGGAGAAGTAATCTGCTCTAACTCAAACTCAACTCTTGTAACCTGTAAAAGGAAGATAACTGTTGAGCTATACATAATAAATGTTTTTGTTGTTGACAATTTGTTTTGCAGGTTTTGCTCTATTTCTTGCACTTGTTACGAATAGATTACATTCCCATCTTGAGGTTATTTGTAACACAGGAAAGAAAGCAGCAACAGAGAAGGATGATGGGGATCATGAAGCTGAAAAGAAGCAAAAGGAGCAAAAGAAGCAGGGTTCCAGCAAAATAGGCTGAAGATTAATTAACATTTGATGAACGATCGTCAAAATGATGAAAGTATCAAATTGTACCTATAGTTTGCTTGGACAAAAAGAATGTTTATGTTTATCATTGAATTTGCACCTTATGTTATGGAAGGACACAAATAAGATGAATTCAATCGAGGTTTGAATTTCTAGGCATCATGTAAGAAGGCAGGAGGAAATTGTAATGAAGTGTTATGAACCTAACCCAACCCGTCCTAACTTAATAAGTCTACGAACCCAGTAGCAATCGTAAAATAGGGAAAGTTCGAATTGTTACTCATATACTACATAGAATATTTTATCTTTATTTTGATCAGATTAATAATAAAAAGAAAATTTTAATAGTAATTTTTTTATTAAAAATAATAAATTTTAAATTCAAATCATAGCATAGATGAATGGATTAAAAAATAGAAGAAAATAAAAGAGAATTAGTCTTCATTATGTAATTTAAAAATAAAGAATAAAAAATAAAAATAAAAAGGAAACAACTCCTTTGAAACTAACTTGTTTCCAAATCTATAGATTGGTCCATTACACTTCTAGAACTGAATTTCAAAAAGTCACATCATCTCTAATATATGATGGAAAAAATAAGATACTAACCACCGCATGTTAAGGTGTAAAGCATGAACAACTGAATTTCAAAAAGTCACATCATCTCTTATAGAGGATGGCAAAAATAAGATACAAACCACATTCCACCAAACGACTTGATGATCGCGCGTTTCATTGAGATCAGTGAATTGTTCACTAGATTTGAAGATCGAATCCTCAGTTGTTAACTTTTAATAATACTAACCTATTAACCATTGCCCTTATAAAAAAAAAAAAAATACAAACCACCGCATATTAAGGTTTAAAGCATGAAAAAGTAAGATGGGAGAGAATTGAAAAAAATGCATTTTATTATAATTTAGAAATGTGTTTTGAGAGTTACATGGAATAGTTTTTATATAAATTTTAGAATCAATAATAGAAGAAAATAAATTATCACATTTAAATTTATAACAAAATTTTACATTTTAAGTTTTACCAATCATCTTTATACTTTCCCCAATAAAGTTGCAACCCAATGCTATGAGATATTAAAGCCAAAATTTACCTTTACTCGGAGGCAACTGAAGAGAAAATTTGCAGCAAAAGGAAAAAATGGGGAGAAACAACAACATGTGAACAAAAAGATGGGATTTTTTGGATTTATAAATGGAGAATTCTCGTTTTCTGTTTCAAATTTTGGACTGTCTTATAAAAATTAAGCTATAATAAATAATACTGCTAAAAACAATAGTGTTGTGAATTTTCCAGGAATTCATCCTCATCAAATGTATTCCAACTTTCAATTACTTCATCAGAACCCATGAAAAATGCAGTTTGAATCCATGGTTCATCTTCTACCATGGCATCTTCCTCATCAGAGCCAAAAAATCCCCTGTTTTCAATTCAAAATTCTAGATTACCAAACTCACTCAACAAGCTCCATTCAAATGTTTTGTCAACAAATGTGAAAGGGACAAACTTAGTCTTAATATTGAATTCTATTAGTGCATTAAATGTATCCATAGAAGGATAATACTGAGTCCTAATCTTCTCCCTTCCACACAAATGAAGACATGATAAAACCTAAACAAGGTTTGACCTTGGAACTTGTCAGCCAAAGCCCAAAAACTGTTCTGTTCAAAATTCAAATGCGAAGTTTCATCACACCAGAATGAGAACTTGTGTCCATTGCCTATTTTCCAAAAAAAAAAGAATAAGAAGTTGAGGAGTAGTTGACCTTTTAGGTTGAAATTTCTTAAAGTCAATGCTTTTCTACCTTCAAAAGGATAAACTAATGTGACCGTGACCAACATCAAGCCAAAATTAGGTGTACAATGTAAAGGTTTTGTTTGTAAACAAAGAAAGAGAGAGAAAAACAATGGAAATTGCATTCCCTAGAAGACCCAAACCCCAAAGTGTCTTCAAAATACGATCGTAGGAGTACAATTTTATTTATCAGTTGATTTGGTTATTTTGCTTAATGTTTGAAAATGGCCGCCAATGTTGATATTTTGCGTAGATGTTGAGCAAAAGGGATATCAATATGAACATCTAAATAAATATGCAAAGTAAGGAAGGCAACATTAACTTTTTAATTCTCTCCCTAATTAAAGTCTACCAAGTTCACACTCAGAAAATTCATCTAGAAAACCATAGAGATGCCCGTCGGCTAACGCCTCTGCCCCATTTTAATATTGAAGCAATTAAGATTATTGGTCTCTACCTCACATCTAAACCAAACACAATTTATAAGGTAT